TAAGTACCATGGACCTCCAAGTACCGTAGTTGTGTGCAACCAGGACCGCCGACGTATACTGAGGGAGATCCCGGCAACCGCACAAGCGCCAGCTGGATCAACATCGTGGTGCTATCCTTGGTCCGGTGACAGTGACCTTCCCTTTACCAAGCCCTAACCGGGCTGCTGCTAAGGAACTTGAATTGAGTTGCCATAATGTGGGTATATAGTAAATGATAGGGGTTCCTTGCTATAGTAAATTCCTTTAAGTTCCTTGACAGCAACCCTGCTAAAAACCGGCATTCCCACCATAGTCCCGCTATATGTTGGGGGGGATTTTGACTATTCCCGGGTGTGTATGATCACGTGGAAGTCAGTAGCAGCCTTTGCGGTGAACTCGCTCTAGATTTGTACTCTGCAGATTTTCCTGGTGCAGGCGCGAGAGATGAGAGCCTTGGCTTTACAGCTTAATGTCTTGGAGGGTCAGTGGGACCTAGGGTAAGTGGGTTAATAATGGGGACAACTGGGTCATCATATGGCTTTCGCCATGCAGCTCCTAGGTCCCTCCGACCCAAGGAGAATCTTTACTTGGGAGCTTTGACTGGCAGGTCATGCTTGTTTCTTGAGATGGGTACAGCCTGGATGATGGCAACCTGTAGATGCATAGTAGTGTGCCCGTCATTCGGGGGGTGCACAGGCGCACTCCGTCCTGGTGTTTGCACCATTTAAAGGCTTTGGCGCTGAGGAACCTATCGTGTCTGTTGGTGCGCTCACTTCTTCATGGGCTGCACTGCTGGCGCGCATTTCGCGCCGATGCCTCAACAAAAGCTTGCAATGGCTGTGTTATTCCTGAAGGTCTTCGTAGTTGCGCGAACTGGCGAAACAGAGGACATCCCAGAGGTAGTAGGTAGATCTTGGGTGCGCCATGTGCACCCCCGATTGCTCGGAAAGGGAGGTTGGTGGGTCCTCAAAACGCCGGCCTGTATCCTCGAGAAGCGCTTCAAAATCCGAGTAGTACGTTGCTGAGATACTCGCCAAGGCCCTGTCTGGTACTCTCCTGCATCTCCTGTGTTTCCGCTCATGCTCAGGCTAGACATTGGCCTCATCAACCCACGGGGAGCCTCCAACACGACGTATATCGACGCGATCCCAGGGCGTCCGCGCCTGATTTCTTTAACACTGAGAGTTGAGGTTACCTGACTATTTTTTGGGAATGCACACGAATCGATGGAGCTTCAAGCGGGATCCTTCAAATCTGAGAGATCTACGTTTTACACAGCAATGCTACGTTAGATCTTCCCTGGGTCTCTCAACATCTAGGTCAAAGTATATCCAGGTAATTGCAAAAGCCATCGCGCACCCATCTCGACTGTGTTGCACAGAAATTCCTCGCAGACCACCGCGGTTGGGGGGGTGGTCCGGGGGGGGCAGGGGGGGTGCTATCAAGCCTGGGAAGTTGACGGTGGGGCTTGGCCACCACTGGAAGGGAAACGGGGGTGGCCAGGTTGTGGGTGGTTGGTAAGGGGGAGGAGAGGGCTTTCTAAGTCGGTTCCGAATGCCCTGAGGCTGGCGAATGTCTGAGGTATGCTCATAATTGTGAAATCTAGCTTAAAGTATGGACTTCCAGCATGGAGCATGACCCCACTCGAGAGTGCTGTGGAGATGTAAAGTAGAGTAGGTGTTTTTCATAGGGATACTATAGTCCCCAGCCCCCAATAAAGACTAAGAGTATGTTCTTCTTCCGTCCTCGGTCTGTGGGGGTCTGTGAGAGAAACATAGTCTTGCTTGGCTCAACCACACAGAAAACTCTCCTCCGGGGATATAGGTACCCATTGGGGTAATGTTAGGCTTATATTGGGGTTACATGGGGACAATGGAAAAGAACATGGAAACTGCTATTTAGAGATGGCTTGGTGTCAAAATGGCTTTGCCATTGTCCCGAGTCCTTACCGTGAAAAAGCTCCCAAGACCCAAACTGTAGAAGGCCCTTTCTCCTTGACGGTCAATGCAGCGCCGGGATCCTTCTTGACTGCTGATGATCGAATCAGGAGCAGGGCTAATGGGAACATATCTATAACCCACTGAAACACCCCACGACCACAGATGCTCCAGACCCCTAGTAAGGAGGGTCCTAAGGGGGAATACTTACTACCCCCTTAAGACGAAACACCAACGCGCAAGGACACCCCTGACCCCTAGTATGGAGGGTCCTTCAGAACTTGAGGAGGCTTAGTAAATGCTGCCAGCGCCTTACTGGGAGGTTCGCGGAACGCATAGGGCCAAGCTCGTTTTAGCCTAACATTACAAGTATGGGCCCCTGATGGGGGCCCTTAGGCCTCTTTGGTGGATTCCAGGGAACCTTTTCGGTACATGTAGGGCAAAAAGTAGGTTTATAAGGATCCCAGGGTTAAGGGGTAATCCTCATACATCCTGGAATGTCCTGGGCGATTTTTGGAAGACGAGGATATGGGGGTTTCCCACATTAGGGGTAGCTTTGCAGAGGTCCCCATAATAATGATTGAGGTATAATGGGGTTTATATTGGGGTCGCCCTATTGATGCAACCTACCATACCTCTCAAAACAAATCCAAGACACTAAGCCGCATGGTACCCTTACAGTGTCTTTGTATCTTTAAGGGTTTGCAGGGTTACCCTTGTCTTTAAGTACGCGCCCCCATACCGCATATATATATGTATATACATACTGCAGGGGTTAGTGTTACGGGTTCAGGCATTTGATGGGCTAATTGGCCTTTCTCACACTTGTGACATGTTGGGGTATCTCAAAATGGGATAGCTGCGAGGGACGTAGGGGAGACACACGGAATGTGGGAGTTCGAGAAATTCCCGTTGGATCTACGAGACGCAAAAATGAGCCCTTAACTCCTCGACACTGAATGTGAGGTTTCGTCAAAGTAAATGAAAGTAATCTTTGCCTGAGATTGCCCGAGTGTGGCTTGCCAATTCAATGCATGTTTGACTATGCTGCTATGGATGACTCAAGGTGCTAATTAGGTCTCTGGGCATTTTTCCCCCAATACGGCGTGCTGGGAGCCTGTAGCCTGATGTTATTACCTAAAGTGGCCTAAAGATTGGGTAAGCTCGCTCGAGCTGGACTCGAGCAGTCGCAAAAGTCCAGTACATCTCAAAAAACTCAAACCCTAAACCCTGATATTACCCCAATTGGTACGTAGCTTTACCCTATATCACCCCTAAATCCCCAAACGCCATAGATTCCTCAATCCTCAACTCCTAAGCCCTAAACCTCTCATCTCCCCAAGCGCCCAACGCTGCTCGGCAGGATTGTGCGATCCGAAGTGTGTGGAGCTGAGACCATTGCCTCAGGGATTTCGGCTCCTAAAGATATAGTCCCCTTAAGTAGATAGAATATGGCTTTGGGTGTATTAGAATAAGATCCCCATATTTCCCATATTCTATCTACGTAAGGGGGGCTGTAGGACGTAGTGCTCGGGCTGGGGAGGTTTAGGTTTGGGATGTGGAATTTCGGGGGTTTATCTACGACATATCTAGGGACGATCTAGGGTGCACACTGGTGCGTCGACCGTCTCCTTAGGCCATGCCTTCAATCCTGAACCCCGATGCTTGGGCTGAGGTCGGACGGAAAGTGCGGAGGATTTGGCACTGCTGCCGCGCTCTGAGTTCACGGTATGGACACGCGAATTTCCCACTATTTGGGGTTAGGTGGGAACAAATGGAAAAGAAAATGGAGACTACTATCTTATTGGGTTATAATGAGGTTATATTTATAACACACTACAGCTGTATCAAAGCGAGTGTCCCACTAATAAGTATGCGTCCTCGTCCCTCATGGCCAACGTAACTCTGACGACTTCAGAGTGGAGGAGGAGGAGGATTAGCATAAAAACCCTAAACCCTAAACCCTAAACCCTACACCCTAAACCCTAAACCCTAAACCCCAGCCGTCTACCATGGTGTACCAGTAGCGCATGCACACGTGTTTGAAATGGTCGGTAGAAACCGATTGCAAGCTTAGGAGCACTCCCCTGCTGTGGCAGCGGTGGCTTGCTGGCCTACATGTCAAGATTCGCCAGTTTGGGGAGCAAGCTGCCCAGCCTTTGCCACATCAGGTAATATTGATACTGGAATAGGAAATGGAAACTACTATAATGGGTCATACAGGGTATGTATAGGGCTTCTATAGTATAGGGATAATGGAAACATGGAAACAGTGGTTGCAACCTGTTAAGTTGGCAGCTTCCGGACGGAATGATGTGGGGTCTTGCTTAGGCACCAATGATGGGAACAGCAAATGAGTCAGAGATTTGGGATCCTGTCTTAATCATGGAGAGCCCGGCGCTGAGTCATGATGAGGTTGCTGTTGTTGTTTTTCTTTTTCTCGCGGTGTAAGCTCATATCCAGCAATGCAAAACAAGGCGGGACCTACAACATCTGCTGGTGCAACTCTGGGCAAGGCTTGATGTCTTTCTTCCTCTGCGGGTTGTGGAGTTGTCTTTTGAAGCTGGGTTACCAGGGTTCAGGGTTCAGGGCTTCAATCCTTGTAGCAGAATTCTTCAATTGCTTAAATGACTGCCCATTCTTTGGAGCCCCTGTACCTATAAGGTGACATAGATACCGAGGTTCCCAGTAATTGGGGGAATACGGTTATGGGTTTAGGGGTTTGGAGGCTTAGGGTTTAGGGGATTTTGGGGAGAGTGCAGTAGGACCCAGAATTTGACCAGTGCCTACCTGGATGCAGTAGGAGGTGCCGCCGATGGAGTCAGGATGTGGAATTCAGATTCGAGGACATCAGGAGTGTCCAAAGTGAGACTGTCTTGCCTCCTAGGTATTGGAAGGCGCCGGACAGTCCCTGACGAACCTCACATGCCATTTTACTTCCTGTAGGGAAGGCTATTCCAGCAGAAAGTCGATATACTCTGGTGAGCTCCTTCGAAGCTCCCTCTTTTTCAGAGAAACCTTCTTGGAAGGTGGAGCTTCCCAAACTGGCGCCTTTAACATTCTGAATCAAGAGCTCCATGATGCCTTTATCCTCCAGGGGGCCCTCTTCTTTGAGAAGCCCCCATGTGTAATCCGGGCAACACACCTAAACCCTAAACCCTAACCGTCAACCCTAAACCCTAAACCCTAACCCTAAAAACATTTGGCGCCCTTGCGACTGACAGGTGGCTGCGACAGCGATGAGGACTTCTCATTCCGGGCTGGCAGCCCACTGAGAAATATGGTTTTCCCACAGGGGGGGTTATATAGGGGTTATATAGGGTTAAGGGCTTAGGGTTTAGGGGTTTCCCAAAATTAGGGGTACCATTTTGATCTGGGGGTCCCAATGATAAGGACTATAATACACTGGGGTCTATATTGGTTCCCCCTATTTTGTTAAACGACCAAATGGGTAGTCTTCTCTTGCGCGGACACTAGAGCCCTTTAATGAAGAGGAACACTGCGTATCCTTGTTGTAGGTAAAGCTAAAAATAAGTAGGTGCATATTTCACCAGCAACTGTTGACCCGCCGCCCCCACCCCTAGATTCTGGGAGTCTTGTCAACGTTTCGGTGCTAATGTTCAGACTTTGTTGCCCGGCATACCAGAGTTCGCAGACTTTTAAAATTTGCGTTTAATGCAAGGTGATCCTTTCAGGAAGATTGTTGAAACAGGATTTCATCAAAATCTTTCTTTAGAACCCTAAAACCGTAAACCCTTTTTCTTGGCTCAGCCTGGGGTACCGCATAGTTTACACAACGCCTTTTTAAAGTGCTTTTGCCAGGGGAGGGCTTCCAGAATTAATTGGTTAATATTCTGTTGTCGTAAGTTTGGGATTGCCGGCCTGTAGCAAAAGGCAATTCAGAGATACGGTTCCGGGTTGTAGTGACGTACGCGATACCACGGGCTCCAGATTATGCTGGATTTTAGCAACGATTGCTAGGTATTCTGCTTGTTTCGTTTCGCATGCATCTAGCGACTGCACAGTGCAACGACTCTTCCATCCAGCTTGAAGTAAGGCATCATCAGTGCCAGTGGAGTGCCCCTGCCTTGGAAGAGGGAAGTCGCAGCCACTCGGGCATGCGTTCTGGCCTGTCATGATGCCAAGGAACATCGGCCAACACTGGCACTGCGCTGCATATTTTCCGTGCACGGTCGAGATCATGATGTCAGGCGATCTGCTGACCAGCAAGATCCCTGCCAGAGAATTTATGTTCGTAGGTCGAAGCTCGCTAAAAGGCAGAACTCAATCATCACATTCTCCTGCTACAAGGATGGGTTGCGCGTTTGCTTTTGACCCTGGGTTTTGCTTGCACATGCAGGTTTTGCCACATGTGTAAAGGACACGACCTTTGTGTTTCATGGGTAGGCCTCTTACAGAATATGAAAAACATGGAGCATGCATGTACTGTGGTTTTGTGATGGTTTAGGCATGGATTAAGTTTGGATGTGGACCACTTTGGGAGTTACCCTCCTCCAAAATGTGGAACCCAGCATCGGCCCGCTTTTAAACAGGCGATGGTTTTTGAAGGGTGGGCAAAGGGCTTGAGCCATAATTGCCTAGAGTTCACTACAGACGACTTGTGTACAGGTACTTCACAGCATCCGAGTGCCCTGCATACTGCCAACAAGACAAAGAAGCATCCCCCAAGATTTTGAACGCCCGCTGCCGTAGAAAGGATTTTTGGTGAGCAAGTATGCCAAGAGCTCTGCTAAATTGCCTGAAAAACTGCGGGCATTCCCTAATAACCGCACTGTTGACAAAATCTGACTCAAACACGCTTCGCAACATCAGCAATCGCCAAAACTCGCCCATGAGGCACGAAGAGAAGGAATGCCATGAGACATAGGAATCGCGAAGAAAGCACTAAAAGCGATAGGATCCACCCCAAAAGCGATACCCCTCAATCTAACACGGAAGCATGACTGTGTTTTGGCTGAACCCCCCAAAAGCGACACCTTTCTTGTATCCCATGCCTAAAGGCCCAAAAGCGATAGGACCCCCCCCAATTTGTCCATGGCATCCGATTATACAAGGAATTTCGGCGAACGCTCACATGGTCTGCAGTCCCACACGCGTCCATGTCCTCATGCACCCATAGCTTCTATAGCACTACTCTAGAATCTTTCTACACGCCTGTTTCGGGTTCAACTCTCTGTGTAACCCACACGTAGCCTCCATATCACTTTGCGTAGCCTCTATGGTAAGGAGTTTTAGGGTCCCCTTTGTTAAAGTTCTTCATAGCAAGGAATATAATCACTTATTTTGATCTACACTGGGGTCACCCCAGTTACGGAAATTGCCACCTACAGCAATCCCTGTTTGGGGTATGAAAACCCAAACCCCCAATCTCATAGATCCTAAGCTCCCACACAAAACCGCCCGAAACTCCTAGACCCTAAGCCCTAATGACCCATGACCCCAAACCCTAAACCCTAATGACCCTAAACCCTAATGACCCTAAACCCTATTGGGCCTTGCTCAGCTCTCTGGACAGATGGCCTGGCTGGCGGGGACTACCTGCAGTTGGTTGCCGCAGCTCCAGGCTGGAAGGTTTAGGGTTTTAGGGTTTTAGGGTTTAGGGGTTTTAGGGTTTAGGAATTTAGGGGGTTAGGTTTTGAGGGGTCTAGGAGTTCTAGGTTTTGGGGGTTTAGGGTTTATGGGTTTGGGGTTTGGGGGTCTAATGGTTTGGGTATGGGAATTTAGGGCTTTAGGGATTGTGGCTTATAGGCGTAAAGGTTGGGGATCAGATTTTAGGTATTTACATAAGTCTTGCGAAATGTAGCCGGTATATCGGGGGGTACACATAGCATCTAGATGAGTAGATGTTGCACTCTTTGCTGGTCCCTCATTTGATGAAAGGTTGTATTGCATGATATTATGTGTTGAATTGGTATGCTATATCAGTTTTACATCATCATGCTTATATTCATCTATGTACATGAACTTATGTCAACACGAATATGACTGCGTGTTCCGAGCTATGGGGGAGATAGATAGATAAGTAGATTGGGAGGGGCAACCTCTGGCCAAGTTCTGACGATTGGGGGTCAGGGTTTGGGCCTAGGGTCTTTGGGTTCGGGTTTTTGGTCTGGAGGCTTCGGGATGTTGAGTTGTTTTTGTTGAGGCGGTTTCAGGCAAAGGCCTTCTGCGTACTAATCCGCTGTCCCCCCTATAGTGAAAAGCCCCACACAGATAATGCTGTGTGTTTCCCGTTGTGTATTTGCACTAGATTGGGACTGCTTTTTGGTTTGGGTGAGGCATTTTGAAATTAGCGGGAGGTGAGTACAGATACAGAAGATTCAAAAAAGCTGAACCATGGAAAAGGTTTTATCTCCTTCGTGGGTAGGAGGATAGGACTGCTTCTGCAAATTGGGATCCATTTCGCGCCCTTATAGCAACAACTATAGTCAACCCTTTTGAAGGCGCTCTTGCAGAAGCACTGATTGCATGCGCGGTAGTACAACACTTCTTTGTCTGTTGTACACAAAAGCAAAAGGAATGGGACATACAAGTGACTCTCACTCTTGAAACCCACCAGGCAGATGAACGGCAATAGGCCGGCAACAAGTGCTGACAGCTGGAAGTTGCTTGCATATCAAAATCAAAAGCTTGGATACTTCTTTAAATTCGGGTCCACGCTCGCCAAGCAACAGGGCATTTCAGCCTGAGCAGGAAGAGCCAAGGGTAAACAAGGGGGCCATGTAAACAGCGGGCCCCTGAAACAACCTCTCCCTCGACCCCAAACCGTGTAAAAACTTCTGACCATTCCAAGGGCCGAGGCAATCTCTTGTCTCAAGTGTACAGAGTCATTCTCACCGTCCAAGAGTGATTTGGACACACTTCCTGGCACAGTTCCCCCTGCAGTTGGTGTCACAACAAGCATCATGTGTGCTGTTGCAGGGAGCTTGGCAATTGTGCGATTGAACAGTGATTAAATGCATCCCTTCCATGCTGCATACTTCTGGCTTTTTTGTCTTTCTGGAAAGCCCCGGAAGGCATTGATCAATCATGCCTCATCTTTGGTAAGAGTTTTCCTCAATCCTGAGCCCTAACGGTAGTCCTGTTCTTTACTTGCTAGGTGCCCGTTGCGGCACAGACGGCCGGGCCGCTGCTACAAGCTTCACGAGGGGGACGCGTATTCGCGGTTATGAAGGTGTCGGCGGCTGTTTGCTTGCTCCTTTCCGAAAGTTTGTGAGCAGACACAGTGTCAGGAAGAGACACGAATGGACAAGAGTTGGTCATGTTCGAGTTCGGTTCTCCTCAGGCAGGGCTGCCACAAAAGCCAACTACACGCTGCATTCAAGATTCCTCTTGCATGCTGCAAGGCTCCAGGCGTCTACCTTGCCTGCTATTGTCAGGGTTCAGCACGGCTCTCAGCATGCTCAGCTGCACACTGTCCATTCTGGCTCATTCCAGAGGTGGCTAAGGTACCCTTCCCTACAGTATCACAAAGTTCTTATCACAAGAACCCGTTTAGAAAGGACCCACGATTTTCAGAGTCCAGCCTCTTACATTTGTACAGCATCTCCGTACTAGAATCCTTTCCAAACCAAACTCGGTGAGACGGCCAGTGGCCAAGATCTGCAGGAGCCTGAACCCCAAGCCTGAAGCCCTTAAACCTAAACGACCTAAACCTCACACCTTGACTCTGACTTAATCCTAAGCCTTATACACCAAAAGTTTTTAACCCCACGCCCCAAAGCACTGAGGTCTGCAGCACCAGTTCAGTGACAGACCTGGACTTCTTCCAGCAAGCCGGACAGGCCAAGCGGTGCCTTCACTTGCTGATCATAGGGTTTCTGTGTATGTAATATACATCTAGAGTTAAGGGATGTGTAGCGTGTGGGTCTCGGGCTGTATACGTATATGTACATGAACACATGTAATGACATACGCACCTACCTACATATATACCTACATACCTACATACATGCACACTTACACACAGACAGACACACCGACACACCGAAACACGGACACACCGAAACACGGACACACCGACACACACACACACACACACACGCACACAGACACACACAGACACACACAGACACACACAGACACACACACAGACACACACAGACACACACACACACACAGACACACACAGACACACAGACACACAGACACACAGACACACAGACACACAGACACA